TCGCAAATCTCTTCATTTTTGCATCAAATAAGGTTTTTAATATTGTTTTCTTTCACTTTCTTTTTTTCTTCCGCATCTTTTAGGTGATGACACCCAAAAGAGGGGGTTTTCTCTCAAATACGAAAGGAAACATTCACGTGATTGCCAAGAGTAAAAATCATCCACTCAACCCATCAAAGTAGAGCTGTTTCATGGAATTCGAACCTGCAGTGAAACTCGAAAGTATCGACTAATCATACCTCCCTTATAAAAGGCATCTTTTTAATAATTTTATGATTGCTGGGCTAAAAGGATCTTAGCTTAGGTAAACATAGTTAACAAAAAAAGAGAAAGTTAGCATAGATAACAAAAGAGAAAGTTCAAGTTTAACTGAAATAAGTGCTTAAGTTAGATTTTTGTTGTTTTAATGTTAAATTTAACCCTTTCATTCATTTAGGCAGTTGCCTTAGGATGAAATTGTTGCTTTTGATCGACATTTTCCCTAAAAGCAGAAAGAGCACGAAGAGTTTTTGATTTTTTTTTACAAAGAGAAGATGGTGATTTCAAGCACCTCATTGCGTCGGATCCAGAAATTTTGTTTTTCTACTTTTTTTATCGGGAAAACTGTATAAATTCGGAAGAGGGGCATGTACAAAAAACGAAAAACCCAAAAAAAGTTTTAAAAAATGGCATATTTCGACAGAGCATCCATGCAAATTTAGAATTTTTAGTCCCCATTTGGCTTCTATTTGGTTCCCATTCAAAAAAAAAACGTAAAAGGTAACAGACAAAATCTCGAGTACAGCGAACGCTACACCAAGTTTTGCTTGAAAGTTGTGGATGCAGAACGATTTGAGTTTTCATTCCAGCAAAACCATGAATTTTTGATGACATGGGAACACCAAATCACTTTTGTCACTCATTGTTTTCAATGAAACGTTTGTTCATCTTCTTTCTCATCTGTATATCAATACAACGTGTGGAACTGCCGGAAAAAGTTTATCAGAGCAAAAACAAAACTAACTATCATATGCAAAACGGAAATTACCTTAAAATTGTCGGGCAGGTTGAGAGTTTTCACATTGAGATTGCATCCGACTAGGGCCTTCTGCTTTGAGGAGCTCCTTTTCTTTCGACCGCCTTGGCCACTTCCGGAAGGGCCACATTTGTCTACAATGATCATAATCATGTGAATAAAGTAAACATAATTCAGTGAATACTAATTGGGTAATTTATTCTCACAAGTCTAATGCTATCTATTCTTACATAAAGCACTCCACAAAAACAACCTATCCCTCACCTTGTTGATCATTAGCCAAGTCCAAAGCTAGGTTGATTGCGTCTAAAACTTTTCGAGTTAAAGTAAAATACTTTTATACGTTTGACAATACACGTTTTTTAGGCGGTAACTAACCATGGTCTTCGGCAGTTAGCGCTCGGCTTGCTGAAGCTAAATTTAAACAGTTCACCCTTTGTGTAAAATTCACAATTATGAAATCTCTGTTTGAGCCAGCAAAGCCAGCCTACGGCCTCGCGGCGTTGAAACACGGTATCCTACCAAGTGAGGCAACGTCGGGTTAGTAGCTGGTTCGGAGACGGGCCGGCGAATTCCAAGCTGCTGTAGGCTCCACCCCCGTCTGGTCTAGGTTAGATGGGGAGACTAGTAAAGGCGCTAGTTCTGTAAAGCGAATAGCCTTATCGATCGCCTTCTCTTCACCGCCAGAACTAACTATCTAGGGTCATTCATTAAGAGTAGGGTTTTCTGAGGAAGGCGTAGGTTAAGTTAAGATATAGCATAGAATTGTGTGAGTTGAGGATTTTGGCTGGTGTATTTCGTGTATGCAATAAACCCACCATTGAGAAGCCCAGTTGGTACGAATTATTAATCCTGTGAATAAGTATACATCATTTAGTGAATACTAATTAGGTAATTTACTCTCACAAGTCTAAGCTATCTATTAGGTTGTTGCATATGAAATTTTCGCGACTTTACCATGCCTTAACTTTCTCATTTCACCATGGATTTCTTTCATCTTTTTGCAATTACATAATAGACACAGGAGAAAGATTAAAATTAAAATATGAGCTTTTTCTGTTGTGAACGATCAGCTGGAATAGTAACGACATTTGTACGCCCGCAAGATCCGTGTTTCGCCGTGCAGATATCTGCTGTTTACATTATTAAATACTACGGTCAGTAGCTCCCCCTAGAGGGCCAACGAAAAAATAGCGACCTTCTCTACAGGGTGCGCCATAATTGTCGCCACAAGGTATCACGCGCGTTCAAGGACAATAACTCGTTGTTTTAAGCTTCATTTCTGTTTTTTGTGTTCTTATTATATTTGGAGTATAATTGGAACTTTTTTATATAAAGCGTGTTGTTTTTTAGAATGACTAGAAAATCCCCATCGATAATCGATCATCGAATTGCACAAACGAGGAGTCTCGACGCCGGAGATTCAGAAGTCGACAGAAGTGTCATTTTCCGCACTATTCAACGCTACGAAGCTACCGAACAATTACTGATGCACTAAGAAGCGGTAGAGGCTCAATTGTCGTCACAAAGACAAACATCAAGAAAGTGAGGGACCGAATTCGGAAAAAGCCAAACCAGTCGGCAAATGGCAAAGAAGATGGCGATTCCAAGCACCTCGGATCCTCAAAAATAAGCTGCCCTGGGCTCGTAAAAATTTTGAAAATCGCGTTTGGACTTATCAGCAAGATGGCGCACCGGGCCCACAAATCCAAGAAAGTCCAAGAGTTTTGCCAAAACAACTCCCCGGACTTCATTTCTTCTTCTGAGTGACCACCAAGCTCTCCAGACCTCAACCCAATGCATTTTCCAGTGTGATCGGTTTTAGAAGCCAAAACTTGTCCAAAGCCCGATAAAAACATCGAAAGCTTGAGGAAATCACTGTTGAAAGCGTGGGAAAAGCTCGATTCAGCCTATTTTGTCCGTTGAGGCCTTCCCGAAACGCCTGCGAGCCTGCTCAAATGCCAATAGTGGCCGATTCGAATTTGATAGTTCATTTAGAATTGTTAATGTACAATAAATGTTATTCAATTAAAAATTTGTCTTTTTTGCTCTTGTCTGCCTTAAAATCAGAACTTTATCTTGTTGCGACAATTATGGCGCACCCTGTATATCTATAAATTTTATCGATTATATGCCACATTTTTCATTTTTAAAGAACAACCTAATATTCTTACATAAAGCACTCCACAAAAACAAACTATCCCTCACCTTGTTGATCATTAGCCAAGTCCAAAGCTAGGTTGATTGCGACTAAAACTTTTCGAGTTAAAGTAAAATACTTTTATATGTTTGACAATACACGTTTTTTAAGCGGTAACTAACCATGGTCTTCGGCAGTTAGCGCTCGGCTTGCTGAAGCTAAATTTAAACAGTTCACCCTTTGTGTAAAATTCACAATTATGAAATCTCTGTTTGAGCCAGCAAAACCTCATGATTCACTAAGATTCTATTCATTGTTTGTACAATCTTGCAAGAGCGTGTCTTGTGTCTTGTCAAACCTCTTCCACTGCCACTACTAACAACAGAAGCTCTCCCACTGCCACTCGACGGTTTCTGCTGCTGCTTCTGTCGACGAAGTTCTTTAGCTCGCTTTTCAACTCCTTCATTGAAACGCTGCTGAGCTGCCATTTCTTCTCTTAGTTCACGTACTCGGCTTGCTTTTTTCTTACTGCGATTACTTTTTCATCTATTTGTTGCTGTTCAGAGCGGAATTGTTTCTCATGTTGTCTCATCGTTGCCAGCCTAGCCCACAATTCCGGCGCGGCCGGTGTTTTGGATTTCCTGATATGATGCTCCATTTTGGCTTTCTCTGCCTGCACCTTTTCAATATTCTCAGCTATTTCACTTTTTCTCTCTCGAAGTTTTCTAATTTGACGTTCTCCATATTGAAATTGTGCATCTTGAGTTAAAGTAGCCACATCAACGATCGGCAGCTATTAAAGCCGTTTTGAAACGAAGAGGTTATATATTTTTACCCAATCTTTTGTAATTAAACTATTTTTAATACTAAAGTCTGCGTTTAACTGAAAAAAGCGATTCAAAAGTCAACGATACTATATGAATTTCTCCGTAGGTTTCTAACAAGCAAAACTAAACCTTCCGTCCCTTATGGTATTTCTATTAACACTAGCGTCAGGTTTTGAAAATCGTTAACTACCTATTTGCTTTTTTTTCGTCAATTAGTAATCTTTATCAAGAAATTAATACAAATTTATACACACCGCCATTGTGCAAAACTTACGTCCAGAGGTTGGTGAGTCCGACCTCGGACCTCGATCTGTGACTAGCCGAACTGTCCCGGACGGGCCCGGTTTATCTGTTGGCATACTCCCCAAAACCAGTACATACTCAAACAACGATAGATACAGTAAACAGTTCCACATTTGCAAGAATGTTGAAAATGACGTTAACGATTTTTATTGCTTTTGGAGAGTCAAATTAATTACACGTGGCAGAGGTGAACGGAATAAAAGCTTGCTCAAGATTCAACATTCGTTCATGAAGGTGCGACTGGAATAATTAGCCCAATAGCACAAAACAAGTCATAAGCCGAATATGTGTTGGTTTTGGGGGATACAAACAGAACACACTTTAATAAAACGCCTTTTGAGCTCAAGCTTTTCCTCCAAGTTACTATTTTTTCTAAATCTTTTTTTGGTTGTAGATTTAGATACGGTTGCCGTAAATTGTAGCTTTTTGAATGGATAACGAACATTTGGCCTGAAGGTCAGAAGCTGGCCTCTTGGAAAAATAGTCTTCCAATTGAATTTATCAACGTTAAGACACACTAGACTCAATTAAATTTGTCATTTGTCACCAAATCATCTTTACATTTGAAGGGAATTTGTTACCAAATCACTTAAATTTGTCAACAAATCATTTAAACGGCTGAATATCTTCACATTCACAATCACTAAGATGAACAAAAGTAAAAACTTTATTTGTTGTAATATATAATGATCAGGTATACCGAATTCGTCTGTTAATCTTCGCATCGAACAGCGTTCGCTGGTTGGTGGTTCATATTGTTTGGACCGCCAGTCCAAATCCATCGATCTCCGTCGGAATTGCAGTAAAAGAGGGCTCTCGTAAAGAGACTGCCAATTTCGGTGCTCCCGTCAAACTAAAATGAACGATAAAGGTTAGAAACATTTTGCTTCTCGTCACTGACAACATTGCATTTAAAATTTCTAGGAGATGAACCACAAACGGCCATTTGTGATTCTTGCTTCTTATTTATTGATAGATGTGCTTGAATACTAATACATGATTGTCCAGGATTACGGGGACTAGGATTAGCTTTGATATTGCATATTTTTGTTTACAATTTATATATTGTTTTTGCCTTTCTTTAAGTTTATTTTATTTAATGAATTATTTACTTACTATTTTTTTCTCAAAAAATGTCTCTTTTTAAAATGGCCAAGATGTCAGTGTACCGAGATGCGATCATCGACCTACACAAGCGTGGCGTTCTGGTGATGGATATCTCTAAGCGATTGATGACACGCAAACAACTTGTTTACAAGGCGATCAAACGCTTTAGGAAGAAATTCTGATCGTCCCGGACGTGGTGGTAAAGCAACCGTTGTTACCAAGGCTAATCAAGAAGGCCGAGATCAGCTACGCTTGAAAGCCATTCGCTCACAGGTCAAGATGGCAAAGAATATGGGAATTGCTTGAACTTCTATAGGATGTATTGTCAAAAATCGTCTTGAAATCAAAGCTTATAAGTTTTCCAAAAGCTAATTGATTGGGCACCCGCACACAAAGCTCGCATCGTTCAATATTTGTGCAAGCAGAATTTCCCCAATTTTATCGATTTTAACCAGTGTCCACCATCAAGCGGACCTCAACCCTCTCGATTATTCTGTATGGAGTGTATTGGAAGCAAAAGCTCGAAATCCCATCCAACAGTCGATTCTTTGAAGAAAGCCCTTCAGAAAGCTTGGGACACCTCAGTTGAGCTTGGGACACCTTCAGTTGGACACACCTACCTTCTCGCCACCGTGGATGCGTTCCCAAAACGCCTCCAGCCGGCCTGTGTTGCCGTCAAGGTTGATTGGCAACACAGACGTCAAAGATTGGCAACACAGACGCCTGTGTTGCCAATCTTTTTGAAAAAAAGTGAACTTTTATGTTAAATTATTGTATTAAAATAAATTTTTGCTGCTTTGATGTCATTTTAATGTAAGTTGTTCTTTAAATCCTCAAGTTCTTTATTCCCCATAATGCTGGACAACCCTGTATAACGACGAAAACCAGTACTGAATTACTTAACAAGAAGAGGCAATAGGCAAGAACTTTCTAAGGGCTAATAAAGCAAAGTAAGTTGAACTTGCTACAAACCACTCGAATCCTTCGGCATCTAATCGAAATCATAGCACATTTGGTTGTTGTCGTGTCCCAGGGAAGCAATTTAACTGGAAAATTATGGTACTTAGTTAAATTATTATACTCAATAAGTTCTTTCTAATCACTTGGAGTTCTCTAATCGATTTCTACTTTGTATCTACGGAAAATTCAATTCATCTGCGCACATCTGAGAGACTTAAAACGATTACAATAACCTTCAAACTAGGTCTTCGTTTTTCTGAAATGCGTAAACAAAAAAGCATTTTAATCATAAAGTTCAACGACTTAGAAACCTTCCAGAAACCCCTTATACAAATTTTTCTGGGCTCTCTTTGTGTTTAGTTCACAACCTGTTCCATCCCACACATCGACATCGAAGCCCGGGTTATCGAGGGTGCAGTAACGACATTCTAAAATGGCAGAGTTGTTAGACTTTTTGCTACATTTTATTAGATTTGAAACACAAACTAAAACCAACCTTCAGTGGGAAAGCCTTGGGCAGACACCTGAAAATCCTTTAATTACCGTATTACCTCTAATAACTGCACCCCTCCAGTCAAAATTCACCTAGCTGGGGACCACCTCGAAAACCAACTTTTTGCTTGAGCTTTTTGCTCCAAAACATGTGTTTATGAGTATATTTTTATATTCCAAAAAGGTAGTGAAATCCGTTTGACCATTTTTGAAAAATTATTGAAAAGTTTTTTTTCCAAAAATGGTAAGAGGGGACCACATGGATCTTTGGACCTTGATCCAGTATGAGAAAAAGTTTTCATTTTAAACGCATTCTTCATAGGCTTTAGAGCAATTTTTATAGGTTTCATGGGTTGTTAAAATAATTTTTAGAAAAGTTTTAAAAGATTTTTTGATGGGTCCCTTTACCAATTTTCCGGGGGAGTCCTAAAAAATCGATTGAAAAATAATAGGCAGGTATTAGAGAAAATACGGTATGTGGTTATTGCCGGATTATCCCTTCTTTTATTATTTTATTTAGTTCTAGAGCTAATTTATCTTGGATGCCGGCTTTAAGACAAAGCCAGCTATAAGGTAGCCTAGTTTAGAGAAGATTAGACTAGTTGATTGCTAGTTTTCTGTCTGGGTGTTGTGCTTGATAAGAAGGAAGAATTAAACCTGTTGCAACACAATCACCAGGAAGGAAATCACGAGAAGAGCCCGTTGCATTTGTCTCAAAATTTTGGCGCAAAAATGACTCAAAGTGAGCTATTTATTGCCCTATTGAGAGCACTCGAAAACACATGAAAAAAAAATGATTAAACCAAAATGAAAGAGTGTTTATCAAGAGACAGAAACGAAGCGAATGGTTTTCATATTGAATAGTTGAATAGCGAATAGTTGAGAGCAGCAATGTTTTAAGCGGGAAACGACAGTGACTCAGTGTAGGAGAATCTCCTGTAACGACTCCAAAGGTGGACTTGCACGGAAAGAAGGCAATGTTATGTGTTTGGTGGAATACAAAGGAACTTGTGCACTTTGAGGTGCTCAATCACGAGCAAAAAGCGAATTCTGAACTCTTATGTTCAACAACTTGAGCGGATAAATCAAGCATTTCGCCAGCAGTGGACTAATTCGGGCAAAGTGTGTCGCCTTCAAGATAACGCCCGCCCACACAAGTTGCCTCAAGAGAAACTTGAGGATCTGGGTTGGGAATCTCTCCCTCACCCGCCGTATTCCCAGACCTCGCCCCTACGGATTATTTATTTCGAACGCTGCAACACTCTTTGGCGGGGAAGAAGTTCAAAAAGCACGATGAGATCCGAATCTGGGTGCGCTAATACTTTAATAGTCAAACATCCCAGTTTTTCGAGAATGCGATTCGAGATTTGGAGGAGAAATGGAGAAAGACCATCAAAAATAATGGCGAATATCTTTTGGAATAATTGATGTTTTTCGCAGTATTTTATTAACAAAGTTGTTATGTAGAAAGCAGCGGTTTCATTCGGTGCAACCTTATAAAATTATTAAAGAAAGGGCGATGTGAAAAAATTTGAATTTATCTTTCTATCTTGTCAAAAAATTGACATTAACACCTTCGTTTTCATGTCTCGAAATGCACTTGAAGTTCTTCCGAACTGTCGTAAATGAGCCATGACATTGTTGGTTGTGCCCTGTTTTTGTATTGCTAACGATAATCTGCTGTATGGCTACGGTTCAACTGAAGAATATTAGATTTTGTATAGAAAATATTTCCCATTTGAACCAACACATCAAAAACAAAAACAAAAACTCCAAATCACTACTGGTAGGAAGGTCAAGGTGGCATCAGAAAAATGGTTTTCTGTTAAAACGAAAACTCGTTAAATTTAAGAGAATTCTGGTTTTTTTTTGCACAAAATTTTACGATCTCCTGTGATTCATGAAAGAAACCATACATAAAAAGTCGTTTAAGCTGTTCATGAGCTTAAATGCTTATGAAATCTCCATAAAACTGATAGAGAATCTGAGAGTTCGTAAAAAATGCCGTTATAGCTTCGCGTTTTCGACTTTCGTTCTTTGCTCGGCGATGCTCTTTAAGGAAATTTTGTTGTGAGACTTTGAAACAGATGAATAAAGTTTAAAAATCTCTTACCATTGATTTAAACTGATAAAAAGTCCGCCAGAGTGGGCACACTGACTAGGAATGGCCATTGCTCATGGAAAAGAATCCATACGGGTCTATACTATATCAGTCCTACATCCAAAAAACACAAAACAAGTAAAGGTAAAATTTTTTAACTATTTGACATGGATAGATGACCCCACCGTCAACATAGATCACGTTTCATTGATCACTCTACAATCCAAAAATAAATTTGTGCTGAGATGAGACGGCTGATGTGTGGGTGGCAGCTGGGAACACAAAATTCTTGATCAACAGAAACCATTAAAAATTTTTGAAAAGCTACACGTTCTAAAAGTGAAAATAATAGGTCATTCTACAAAACTTTGAGACAATTTGTTTGCATAACTTGCAAGAAGTCATTTATAAAAGTCGTGTCGGTGCAAGAGTTTCACCAATTATTGGAAACTCTCGAAATGAACGCATTCCTCGCCTCAGCTCTCGTGGCTTTGTCCCTTATCCAGGTTTGTCCCTTATCCCTTATCCGGTGGCAGTTAACGGCTTAAACCTTAGCCATGGAAATAACAAGGATAACTTTACTTTTACACAGTTTGCACCGCCAATGTTAGTTCTTTAGGCCTCTTTAGCAATCCTAAAATTGGCTTGGCTTATAATAAAAAATGAAATTCATCAAGTGTCGATAAGGTTTGCAAAAATGTCGACAAAACTTTGTTCTGTATTATCTTACCCTCAATCCAGATCACCATCGCTGGTTGTCCCCAAATGCCGACTGGAGTCGTTGCAACTAACATTGGAGGCAAGTATTCTCACTGTAAACTTTCTAAGTTACAAAATTTTAGCATCAGTCGGAGGTTCCTGCCCGGAGACGGCCACGTGCTATACCAAGAACAAAGTAGAGGCGTGTTACGTTGTGGTACGTTTGAGCAACTTCTAACTTTAGGTCTTTAGGTTTAGCTTTACCGTCTTGGTCTAAAATTAAACAGATATGAAGAGTTATTTAACCGACTACTTAATCTCTGAACTACTTTGAAACTATGATATGCTTTCAATATTATCATCTTCTTTTCAGACGTCAACTCCGGCATGCCCGAGATTCCCCGCTGGATCGAAGGCTCAGAGCATTGGCCGTAAGTTTTTCTTTCTTCTTATTTTCATCAAGATCTACTGAACAAAAACGTAATTTAGCTGCTCTTGCTGAAACGTGTTTTATTGGTCAATGCTACTACAAGAATGGCTATTCTGATTGCTACATGTGAAACAATACTTAAGAAACATCTTGAGTGGAATTTCGAAAATAAATATTGAAATAAAATATGACTTGAATTCCTACAGGCTAACGCAAAGAATGTGAAGAATTCTATTAGACAGAGGCAGTCATTCACTCCACAGCTGACCGCTCGATGCTCCATAGATTCTTCCATCCGCTTTGCAAAGTGCGACTCTTTTTAGATTTGCGACGAGAAATCGTCGATACGGTTTTGTTACCATCATCATCACCAATGCATTCAATGCGCCGTGCGTTGAAAGCATAACAACGAAAACCGAAGTGGGCTCTGCAAGATAAATTAATAATGAATACTAAACTGGATTCTCAACTCAAGTTGTCTCAAGATGCTCACCCTGAAGATTCCGTTCGAGACGGGTTTGAGCAAGAATGGAAAAAATGTACAGTGGAATCACGTAGCCAACTAGAGGTACAATTGCCTGGAAGATTGTGTTGATTTTGTGCTGATAACATTTCCCTATCTTTTTTACTTGTATAATCAGAGCGACAATGGCAAAGAAGTGGCGCTTTCTCGCGCTATCGTTCAGCAAGTTTCTCGATCGTTTCAACCTTTCAAATGCCCACCAAATGACCATAATATTTACGAACATGTAGGTAACGCCGGCTGCAAAAAAATCCCCTTAAAAACAACGCCAACAACCCACATATCGCCCAATACAATTGACACCAAAAAAAATTCGGGTTTATCCAGTTATCAAGCAGGAAAAGATTAAAATCGTGGTCGAGTGTCTCATGCCAGTTGAGTACATGCTAAAGTTTGACTAAATTTAAGGATTTTACTCAAAATCTTTCACTACGAACAAACTAGTAAAAGACTAGGCGAAACTTACATAGGCGAAAACATAATAACTCCAATCGTAGCCTCGAAGAGAACCGGAGTCACAGTCTAAAAAATCTATTTTGTTATCTTTAATCTATTTTCTTAGCAAATAGATTTTGTTAGCAAATCTATTGGGTTAGTGAATCGAAAACTGCCGGACTTTGAACTAAAATTTATTCAACATAAAACCATAAATTCATTCCAAATAATTTCCATTATTATTGACAACTTCTGCTCATTTTACAGGCAATCTGCGGATTCCTCTTTCGTGGTAGGATTTTGGTTTTGAATCGAAAAACTTTTAGAGCCAATCTTTGACTGTTTCTTCCGAATCGAAGTGTTCTCCCGCAAGCACATTCCTCATGATCCGGAATAAATAGTAATCAAAAAGGGCGAGATCCGGACTGTATGCGGGATGCGCCAGATCGAAACTTGGCAAACCATACTCGACAGGTTCTTTCGGGAGGTGAGTCCTCCCCATTTATCTTTTTAATATTAGCAGCTGCCAAGCCTGCACTGTGCTCTTGTAGGAACTCATGAAGCATGGCATGACAAATATGTCCGGTGGCAGATTGTCGGGTGCAATAGAAGAAGTGAAGAAAAATGCCACAAAATCAAAAGCTGGAAGCATAATTTTTCCGCAATAATTTGAGGAAAGGTTTAGAACCAAACCCCGTTTCAGCTGGTTCAATGCTGTTGTTTTTTTTATCTGCGAGTCCCGCGAAATAGCTCGCAGTTTTCAATTGACCAACCCAATATTTTGCTAGCTTCCAAAAGTTAGTTTACCACAATCAAATTTCTGCCTCGTCTGATCGGCCAACAATTCTCGTAGAGCACCATCAAACGATAGAGGAAGCCAATTTGAATGGAAGCCATACAAAAGTTTACCATTAAAATAGCACTTGCCTAGTTAAAGCGCTTTTTAAAATGTTTCATCAATACAAACTGCAACAAAGCAATGATATTTATGGTCGGCCTCCCATCGCCACAAACGCACTCGTCCCACACCGCCCACAAGCGGAAAAAAGGAGAGCGGTTGTATCCAGAATGCGACAACCAAATCCGAAATACTCGCACAGATCTGTGAATTTTAAGTAATATTGGTTTCCTTAAATTTTAGCCTATTTGTTAGCTGTTAGAAACCCGTTCTTTTACAAGACTCACCAATAGATTGGGTTGATCGTGAGGAATGAGAATTCTAAAAGTGGATAACTTTGAAAACTAGCGTAACCATTTTTCTCTTGATTTTTTACGATCCATACGTTTTTGGAGTTTATACTGAAAGTTTTTTTGAGTAGAATTGGATGAAATGGAAAACAAAAAACGAGTAGATTATGATAGTTTCCCAGATGTCCATCTTTTAGAAGACACATTAATCAGAATCAGAATCAGAATCAAACCCACCAAAATGTTGAACAGACACCATTTATAATTTTTCATTTCTTTTGTTGACTTCTTTATGATACAATAGGCTCCAAGACAGGAGCTAATAATCGAGGCCACTCCAGCCGTGCGATACCAAGGCACAAGACGATCGTACATCGCGACGTTCATAGTCAAGTTCCGAGACGGTTCCGTGAAATTATAGACAATCCCATGGAATTTGAAACTCAAACTGGACATGATAAAAAACACAAATAATTTTTACAAATATTTCTCAACTTAGGTCTACATTTTTTGTTGTTTTTCGCTTATTTTTTCACCTGCCAAAGAGAAAGTTTTTGCTAGAAATCGACTTTTAATTACAAATACATATGCTTTGATGTACTTTGCTCAACAACAAATTTTGCTTTTGGTGGTAAATTGAATACCTTTCAAAAAGGGCTGCGTTTTTCAAGAAATTCAGTCAATAAATTTTAGAATTTTAGAAGTTTCTCTTCTTCATCGTCTCAATGGTGGCCAAGTGGCCGAGTCGGATCGATGAGCATTTCGGCGATTTTCACAGATTTTCTGGAATTTTCGAAACTTTACATTATCTCTGTGTACAGCAGTTTTTTGTAACAAACTCAGCAATCAATCAACCTGTTTCTAACTCTCTCTTTTTTTGTTTTTCTTCAACTCGATGGCTGAAATGGGAAATGAGAGATGCCTAAAAGCTGTAGGGCAAAGAGGGACATCACCTCCCATCCAAGTGAGTTTAGTGTGGAACGAGTCTTCTTCGAAACATGCTGTCTAGCATTATCATCTTGAAGTATGAGTTTTCTCTTAGGGTCTTTTCTCTGGCAAAGATTTGGCTGGCTTGTCAAGTTGCTTCGAGTATTTGATTGAGTTGAGGGTTGTCTTGCTATCCAAAAGTCCCCAGTAGATAGGCTCTTCCAAATCCCAGAGCACCGAGAGCATAAACTTCTTCTCATGCACATTTGGCTTGGCGTCGGGTTCGAGTTTTTCCCCTCAGCAACCCGGTGCCTTCTCCAAAAGTTGACAGTTAGAATCCATTATCATCCCTCATCACAATCCGTGATAAAAAAATTTGCGCTCTTATCGAGAAAGATGAGCGGCACTGATTTCTGGCACGTTGCCATTTCTGTGTGTCCATTAAATTATGTGGAATCCAAGTTCCTAAGACGGTTTAAACCCAAATGTATGCAATTTTCAAGTATTATTTTATGATCAACTGTGATAACTATTCTGCTATTTCGCGAAAAGAAAGCCTTTTTTGGGTTGAAAAATTTCGAGCAACTTGGCATTATCCACCTTGAATGCTGGATAATGCCTGCCCTTTATCTTCGAGGATTCATCCCCTGAACGGAATTGAACAAACCAGTTTACACGGCTGATCTATCTACATAAGCGTTCTCAATATTAGCTGAACACTAGAGGCCCTTGTGTCCTTGTAAAAATTCGTACAACATAACGTGTCGTTTTTTAAAGATCTCAAGGTGGTAGTTTTTCATTAGTTAGAAGAAAGTAAAGTAAAATTCCAAAAAGCAAATATGTTGAAAGTGAAAGTCCATTGTTTTCACAAGAGTAAATGTTCACTTTCCTATTTTCCACAAACTCCTCTCCCTCATTTTTGTTTAGATCTATGGGATTTAATTTGAAAAACGTCACAAGTCATATCCGCCAACCCAATACTAACAAGGTTTTACTGTACATTAAAACCTAATCGTCTCACCTTGTCACCCAACTCGCATTGACAAGTGCTGTCTCGACAAGTTCTTTTTCTAAAACCCATCTAAAGAAACGAGAATTCCTTTGAAGCTGATAAAAAGAGTGCCTCCCGAGAGCAACGTCGATGCTCGATCGATTCAACACAAGAATTTCGTAGCTTAGGATTTTGTAGCTTAGACTTTACTAATAAATCTTTTTGTCAAACCGGCAAACAGTAAGCATTGCTTCAGACAACAAAAAAACTTGAACGAATCGAGGCATTCAATGAAAAAAAACAGTACAAAAACGCTGGCTAAACTTCGATAAAATGAGATTTCCTTTGACTTAAAATTTACTTGCAAATCACTTTTTCTAGTGCAAGATTTATTTTTTGTATAATAGTATTTCAACGTGCAAAGTGCTTGGAGGGTTGGAAAATGGAAAAAGTCTTTTTCTTTCATTTTGAACCTTATCGGAAAGTTGGGCGTGGAGAGATTAGGACACAAATCCGTGGAAAAGACTGCCTTTCCTTTTTAAATGCACCGCTTTTGTCAAAATCCTTCATTTTTTTTCGCATGACATTTGTTAGCACTTTATTATGCGATTTTAGGTCTCCTAAAATATCGCCATGATTTTTTCAAAAATTTTAATCAATTGAATTTTTTAGAAAGTAACGTCCGTCTAAGCGAAGTCTAAGCGTTCGTCTAACGAAACGCAAAAATGCCAATCACTGCAAAAGGAGTAAACTCTTCAGCTACAGTTTAGACTTTACCAGCGTTTAGGCGGTTTACATTGTCTTGACTACTATCAGCCTGATAATCGTCGCTTTAGCTGTGGTAGCTGTCGGCACTGTCGTTATTTGGGGCTTGTGAGTTGTTTGGGTACTCAATCAATTTCTCCACTAATTCATAGAGCCGACTGGGGTTGGCTTTGGTTTTGGACTCTGCCAGCGGGGATATTCTGTTGTTTTGCTATCGCTGATTTCATTTTGCTCGCTTTTTCGATCGTTGGAGTCGTCCGAAAGACAAGTGGTAAACTCATTCCGGCGCTCGTTGTGACGGTAACATTCAGCGTGTTTCTCGTTTCATTTTTTTTCAGGCACTGGAAATCGTATTCCACGTGGCAGGGCCGATCGCGTTCATCGTTTACGTTGCAACAAGTTATGACTTTTATGTAGAGTCTTGCGAGTGGGGCCTTTTTGTAATCGGAGAGCTCAGTAATTTAACGTTGTCGGTGAGTTTAGGAAAAGTTTGGTTGTGTTTTAACAAAAGAATGTCAAGTGGGCAAGGTGGTCAAATGGCATAACACTGAAAACAGATTCGGAATCAGTGTGAAATTCTGAGTCGAATGGTATACAATCTGTCAAAAAATTATAGACGCACCCTGTTTGTTGCTAGTTTAGAGCCGGACGTAAGTGCTAGTCCAGTGAAAAGTATTTTTTTAGTTTATTTAATGTAAAAAAAACAACCCATGCAAATTTCAAGTCATTTCACACATCCAAAGTACTTTATCGTACAAAAAACGTTTTATCAGCTGTCAAAAAATTATAGACGCACTTTTATTTTATCAAGAAAAAGTTAACAGAAATAAAAATAACAACACAAACCAAATAAATTAATAATGTGTGGCCCCTCCTTGTTTTAGTCCAACTTCAAAAAGACGTCTCGGCATCGAAGAGACAATGTCATGGAGCGCTGTTGGCTGAAGCCGGTTCCAGGCTACTTGAATGGATTTCTTGAGTTCAGTTACGCTCAAATGTTGCTTGTTTCCGTTGTAGACATCTCGAACAACTGTCCCCCACACATTTTCAATCGGGTTCAAATCGGGGCTGCAAGCGGGCCAAGCGAGAGTGTCGATTTTCGATTTTGTTAGCCAATCTCTTATGGAGCAACTTGCATGAATACTCGCGTTATCGTGCATAAAAGTAAAGTTATTGCCCGGATTGTTGTTCAGATAGACGGCTAGATGTTTGTTCAACAATTGTTGATAGTCAAGCGATGTCATCCGGGTCGAAATAAACTCTAAGCCGACCAGCTCATCGTCTCGAAAGGCTCCCCATACCATACATGATCTACCTCCAAAGATCCTCGTGCTGAAGACCATGCCCGGCTTTCGTGAATCCATCCAATATCCTCGAAAGCCATCAGCACCATCAAAGTTGAACTTCTTTTCGTCACTCCAAATGATCTAAACATAAAGTATATAAGAAATACTAGTAAGCTAACTCCTTCCCATTTGGTCTTCTGATTCTTTTGAGCGAAATCGATATGGGCGGCTTTATGGTCCTTTGTAAGTCGTGGAGCTTGCTTCATGAGTTTGTATTTGAGCATTGAAGATCGTTTGACAACGTTGTGCACAGTTTGGCGAGTGACCGAAAGCTTCATCTCCTAGCGAGCCTCTTCGAGTGATGTCGTCGTGTTGGAAAGACGTCTCGTAATTGCGCATTCGTCTTGATCGGCCAACTTTTTCTTCCGGCCCCGTGTTTCTTTCTTCTTAGGAGTCACTTTGGTCTTGAGATACGTGCGAATACACTTCTCAGAACGTCCGATGCGACGAGCAATGTCCCTGTTTGAGTGACCAAGCGTGTGGAGCACATCGATACGCGTTTTTTCCACTAAGTATTGTTTTCCAAGTGGCATATCTGAAAATGAAAAACATTTATAAACATAACTAATAAGCAAAAAAAATGAGAAAAAACTAACCATTATCGATAGAATAAATCGTAAAATTTAAGTTGCGTCTATAATTTTTTGACAGCTGATAAAACGTTTTTTGTACGATAAAGTACTTTGGATGACTTGAAATTTTGCATGGGTTGTTTTTACATTGAAAAAACTAAAAAAATACTTTTTACTGGACTAGCCCTTATATCCGGCTCTAAACTAGCAACAAACAGGGTGCGTCTATAATTTTTTGACATATTGCATAGTATTTGGCCACCTTGCCCACTTGACCTTCCCTTGTAATTATGAAAACTGCTATAAAATTCTTTAATAAGCTGTGAGATTTTTGATACTGTTTACCGCCTATTTTTAATCTAAATAGCTAGCTAACAAAGTAGTAGTCGGCTTGGATCATAGTTTATGATGAGTCAAAGTCATTTAGATAACTCGCTTCATTTTTGGCCGCTTGGCATACGTTGAAATGAAAGCTCTGAAACGGCTAGGACAAGTTTCGAGTGTCGAAAAGGAGCTTACTGAACAAAACAAACAAAACGAGTCTCTTCAATGGACCTAATTGCTTCATTTGCCAATAAATTAATATTGCTAATCGCTAATCCATACAAAGAGCAAAGTTTTTTTCGTGAGCCAAACATTTGAAGCTTTTTATTAAAGTTGTCCTTCTCAGGTAATGCCATTTTAAAAAGTGCACTTTTGTGGCAAAAGTTCAAGATATTCAATTGTTTGCCGCCCGCCCTGCCCACGCCTTTGACCCCGCCCGCCCGTTGACCCCGCCCCTTGAAAGAGGCGGGTGGGGCGGGTATGTTTCTTTCGAAAGACATATGTAAAATGGAAGGAAAATCCCTTTTTGGGAGGAGTTAGCCTAGGATTTATTAAACAACTTTGTCTTTTACATCATTTTACATATTTCTATCGAAAAAAAACAAGGGGCGCGGTCAAAGGGGCGGGCGGGCTTTACACTCTACCCTCAAGCCCGTAAAGTTTTCTTTTTTCAAATTTATCCCTTTTCTATCTCGTGTGCGTGTGTGTTAGAATTGGGTTGTCTTGTAACGTAAAAATAATAGTAAAAAGTTTTTTGTTGACTGTAAATAGCAATCATCCACTCCAACTCTTTTAATTTTGTTTATGGTAATTTGTCAATTTTTAGCTTCCAACAAATTTGAGAAATCTATTTTAAAACTCTACAACTTTTTACTATCAGCAATCCAATTTCCATCCTTTTGTTAAGAAAATTTCCTCATTTCTCAATTTATACTTTCTCATTTCCTTCCCGCTTGGTTCACTAAAAAATGTTGGACAAAATTTTTGACTTTCCTGGCAAAACTGTTGTGGCTCTTTTCTCCTCCGCTCTTTACAAGTATAATTTGTAATAAACTTTTATTATTGCACCTGTTAAATGCTTTTTGTTGTTAAATACTCTCAACTTCTCCTTACACACGCTCAAACAACATTGAAGAAGTCAAAGCGAAGGAAGTCAAAGCCAAGTCAAAGTCGAAGAAAGTCAAATCAAAACGGCGCCTTTGTAAGGACGAGATCACAAGAGAAGTCAATGTGCTAAATGTAATTTGTTATTAGAATAAAAAACACTTTTTCTTAAACATTAGCAAACCACAAACCTTCAAATCCTTTCTGTGGACTCGACCATTCACTTAGCATCATCCCTTTCGAATCGACTGATCGGGTCTGCAAAAGAACGTTTATCGCCGTGAACGTTCTATCTCTCAGTTGAGTGTTCTCAAAATATTCTTTAACTTTTTCAACAGCCACTTCTTTGACTACAAGCTCTTCCGTTAAACAGGGAATCATTTCACCATTCTGATAGTTGTTTGGACGATCAAGGAGTATCAGTGCCTCGCGTTCAACTTTACAATTAAGAAATAAAAAGTGATCGACTAACGTGCTAGATGCCTTTAAGCGTTCAATTTCCTCCATAGGTTTGTTAAAGCTACGATTCACAAGATACCTTTCGAAAAGGCTCAAAAAATGAAAGTAAAGCTCTAAATAGTCAAGACTCTCTTTGCTGGCTTCTTTGTAGTAGAAAACAAGCATTCCGACGGGGAACGGATCGAATTTACGTCCTCTAGTCAGGTAAAACTCCTTGAAAGGCTCGAATCGTTCCAATTGGCGTTTTCTTTGACCACAGAACTCCCGTGGTGGGTTTCGCAGTTGAAAAACGTACCCGGGTATCGGGGAATTCGGGTCAATCCGAGCCTCAAGTAAATTTTTCCGGCTATCCTCTAGCCGAATGTGCTCTTCAACAAAACATTTTCCAATGATCATCATATTTTCCAAGTTTTCCTTTAAAATCTCAATAATCGTCGTCGGTTTCAGTACCTCCATTTGAAGAAAGGGCAACGAGTTTTCCCCTGCTTTCTCATGCACTAGGAATTGATTTTCAAATTCTTTTACTACCGAGAAATCCTCAGTCACGAATTGCCCTAAATTTTCATCAAGTAAAAACCATTTCTGACCAGTTGTCTTCTCCACATAAAACTTCAACCAAATCTCGGATAGAAAAGGCAACATGCGGAGCTCCTCCCAAACTCGAATGGCTTTCGCATTCTCTTGATATCTGCTCCAAGGGTTTAGCGTGGCACACCGATTGCAACCCAAGATGTTGAGAAATTTTTTGAAATGATGAACTTGTAGACAGCGAAAGGCCTGATTTAGTCCTTTACGTCTCGAATTTGAGTCACTTTTGATGAATCCATCCAGCCGAAATTCTTCGTTTCTTCCATAAACATTCGCCATTAATAGAGGGCGATATTTCTTCGGATTCTTCGATATTTCTTTTATTCCAAAAAAATCATCTTTATCTTTCTCTTGTTTGAGCAAACTTTTCAAAATGGCCTTAAAAGGCTCTAAATTTGTTCCGGAGAGAAGCTCAACGAACTGAGGTTCTGGTTTCTCATCACTCTCAGCGGGCAAATAGTCCTGCCGTGTCACCTTATATGGGCAAATCCGCTCCTTTCGCTCAATGTTTGATTGTGGCATAAACTCAAGCATGTTGACAGAATCGAAAATCTGAAACGTTTAATTTGATCGATCGAAAAATGTCATAACTTTACTTGTTTGTTTTCTTTAAGTTCCTTCAGGACTTCTTGACCAGTGGGCCGCGAATTTCGATTGAAATTTGTGCATCTAAAATGAATTTGCTTCCAGTTATAGTATAAAGATTGTTTTCCCGAACGAAGACCTTAATGAACAAACCTCTGGACGGTTACACTAATTGCTTCTTGACAACATCTAAAGTATTTTGAATTAACTTAACCGTTTCTTTAGTTTTCATTACAGTGACTAGTTCTTAAAGATACTACAGGGTGGCTAAAAAATATTGTCGTTTTTCAAGCGCTCATAACTTGCCATGAAATCACTTTAATAACAAATTTATTGAAACAAACAATGTAAAAATAAAAAAACAAACAATGTAAAAATAAAAAAACAAACAAAGCAAAAAACATAAATTATAAAAAATTTTTTTAATTCCCTCCTTTAGCTTTCACACAGGCCTTCACAACGGGAAACTACTGAATCAACTGTGTCCCGCAAGTACTTGACATCAAGATTGGGCCAGGCAGCAATCAGTTCCTTCTTAAGTTCAGCGAGATTTGTGATTTTCTTGCTATTCAGACTTTCTTCTAAGCAGCCCCATATCGAAAAATCTAATGGGTTGAGATCCGGCGAATTGCTGGGCCATTCTTTCCTTGAGAGTGAGAGATTCTGAGAGTGAGAGATGTGAGAGATAATCGAAATCCTAAGAAATTCTTGTGTTGAATCGATCGAGCATCGACGTTGTGGGAGGCACTCTTTTTATCAGCTCCAAGTGAATTCTCGTTTCTCTAGAAAAGGTTCTAGAAAAAGAACTTGTCAAGACAGCACTTGTCAATGCGAGTTAGGTGACAGGGTGACACGATCAAGTTAGGTTTTAATGTAACGAAATAATTTTCCTCATTTCTCCATTTATACTTTCTCATTTCCTTCCCGCTTTGCTAACTAAAAATGTTGGACAAAATTTTTGACTTTCCTGGCAAAACTGTTGTGGCTCTTTTTCTCCTCCGCTCTGTACAAGTGTAATTTGTAATAAACTTTTATTATTGCACCCGTTAAATGCGTTTTGTTGTTAAATACTCTCAACTTCTCCTTACACACGCTCAAACAACATTGAAGAAGTCAAAGCGAAGGAAGTCAAAGCCAAGTCCAAGTCGAAGAAAGTCAAGTCAAAACGGCGCCTTTGTAAGGACGAGATCACAAGAGAAGTTAATGCGCTAAATGTAATTTGTTATTAGAATAACACACAGTTTTTCTTAAACATTAGCAAACTAAAAACCTTCAAATCAGTTCCTTTCTGTGGACTCGACCATTCACTTAGCATCATCCCTTTCGAGTCGACTGATCGGGTCTGCAAAAGAACGTTTATCGCCGTGAACGTTCTATCTCTCAGTGGAGTGTCCTCAAAATATTCTTTAACTTTTTCAACAGCCACTTCTTTGACTACAAGCTCTTCCGTTAAACAGGGAATCGTTTCACCATTCTGGTAGTTGTTTGGATGCTAAATTTGAGCTGGTGGCCGAGTGGATAGGAGGCTCGGATACGAGATGACCTATGCCTTTTTGCCGTAGGTTCGACTTCCCTTGAGGATCTTCCTTTTACTGTTTTTTTGTTTAATGCTTCATTTGTTCAATTCTAACTCCAGCTCCATATTGCTTTTCATCGGAAGTTATTTCTAAAAGCATGCATGCAAAAGCGTGGAACAAGCATGCACTCATTGTCCCAATTGCGAAAATTTTTATTGTTTCTATCGTTTTTTAGGCTAGTAAGATTTACCTATATAAATTTACGATTCTCTAAGAATTTAAATGCTATAAAAAGAATTTTTAGGTCGAGTTCAAAAGGAAAATCGTCAAGGGAGTGGAACCTACGGTAAAAAAATGCATAGGTCACTTTGTATTCGAGCCTCCTGTCTGCTCGGCCACCAGCTCACATTTAGGTGGCGGGAAAGATACCTTTTATACGTCTTCGTCCAGTCAACCATGAATGCTCGCCAGTATATGGAAATACTAGAAGGATGTCTACCTCCATTTGCTCAGGATCACATGGCACCTGGATGGTTTCTCTATTAGGACAATTCGCCGGTTCACAAGAGCAAGCTCATGATGGGTCGCACGGTGAATCTCTTAAATGGAGGAAAAGCTCATCTCCCTGGATGGTTTGCCCTTAATAATGTTTTGTTGATCAATGTGCCCCTATGTCGCCTGATTTCAACGTTATTGAGAATTTATGGGCTTACGTGAAGGCAAAGTTACGAGGAAAAGGCTTTCACACAAAAGTTGACTTATGGTTCTACATACGAAAAGTTTGGAGCTTAATTCGACCAGCAATTCTTCACGAATTAGTCGACTCAATGCCTAAACGACTCAATGAAGTGATTTTGGCGAAAGGTAGACCGATTGAATATTAATTTTTAATCTTTCTGTATAATGTTGCAAGACTTTTGCACCCAGTTTTTAGGGTATTTTTTATTAGTTTTGTCATTTACTTTTTTTTACGCTGAACTTCAAATTTGTTTTTGTAAATAAAGTGCACATGTATTATTCTAATTAAAAACAAAAACCCCCTACGAACGGGTGGCATTTTCTATAGAAAAATTTCATCGATTTTTTTGAAAAAGTGATGTTGCAAGACTTTTGTAGTATCAGGTTGGCAACTAAATAATGGCCCTTTTCAGTAAAAACAAAAAATTTATTAACAAGATGAACAAATATCAACATCAATCCAAAAGGTATTCTCCGTCATTCTTTATTACTTCTTTCCACTTTTGACGGAGCAACTGGGTACCTCTCTTGAAAAATTCTTCTGGTTGATCGTCAAAGAACTTCTGCACTGAAATTCGGACTTCCTCAAGGTCATTGAACTTTTTCTCGGCTAGAAAGTGTTGCATCGATCGAAAAAGATGGTAATCACTAGGCCCAATCACTAGGCTGTATGGCGCATGAGGAAGAACATTCCAGCCCAACTCCTCGATTTTCTCCATTGTAAGTTTTGCAGTGTGTGGTTTTGCGTTATCATGGAGAAAATGAATTGAAGAGGGTTCGAGTCCTTGAGAGCGAATTGCTTGATCTACACGATGTAGTTGAGACGAATAGAGTTCTGAATTAACCGTTTGCCGGCTTTTGAGAACCTCGAAATGCACCAACCCACGAGAACTCCACCACACACAGAGGAGAGTTTTCTTTGAGTGAATATCCGGCTTCGGCGTTGGTTTTGGGTCTTCGTTTGTGCTAAGCCACTGTCGTTTTCGCGTTCGATTATCATAAAAGATCCATTTTTCATCAGAAGTGACAATGGAATCCAAGAAGCTTCCCTTTTTCGCAAGTTTTAGTAGTATTCCAGCGGTGATAACACGAGTAGCCTTATTTTCTTCGCTCAATTCATGCGGAATCCACTTTCCACTGCGGTTACTTTTCCCCAATGCATGAAGTCGCTTTTCGATTGCAGTATGCGAAAGGCCCAATCGATCCCCTAGCTCGCGTGATGTTTGACTTGGATCCTCCTTTAAAGCTGCTTCCAAAATATCGTTCTGCAGAAGTTCGGGTCGTCCTTGGCGAGGCTCATCTTCAAGACTTTCATCCCCTTCCTCGAACCGTCGATACCATCTCTTACATTGTGTTTCGGAAAGAGCTTCATCACCAAAAACTCGCAATAAATCTCTGTGGGATTCAGCAGCTGTTTTGTCTTGTTTGTAGTCGTACCAGAGACAGACACGCATTCGATATTTGAGATCTTCCATTTCTAAACAAAATTATTTGAAAAGTATCAAATCAAGGAAAGTAAAAAACGTATAATAATGCACCAGAAATTCAGTAATATTCAATTAACAACAAGCGAGGGTAGATTAAACGCAAAAATTAAAAGATTTTATCACAAAAAGGGCGAGGGCCATTATTTAGTTGCCAACCTAATAGTATTTTGCTCAGGGGTTTTTACGGTATTGTAGTAGTATTTTGCTCAGGGGTTTTTACGGTGTTATCTCTGCTGTAATTTTTCGTTTAGGGGAGATGTCGGACAAACCGGAGAGCAGCAAGACTCGACTCGAAGAGTAAAGAGAATGATCTTAAACAGTGAAATTTTCAAATTTAGGGATATCATCGAACCATTGTTCCAAAAGGATTTCTTGTCACAGTTGCCAGAGGAGGTTTGTCTTTTGTTAAAACTTTTGGGATTAATTGTTTATTTTTAGATTGCTTATCGCATCATCGCCTATTTGACACCGTGCGATTTGACGGTTTGTGCTGGCGTTTTGCGGACGTGGCAGCGACTTTGTGAAGATTATCGGATGTGGCGACCGAAATGTTTGGAGAAAGGATATGTGAAATTTGATGCGCCAAGGTGTGTTTCAGTTTTGAGCAAATAATATAACATTTAAAAATACATATCTGATAGATTTATATTAAACTAGATCTTGCACTTCTAAGGTATAGGATGATACTGTTCTTAATTCTACAGCAAACAAAGATATAAAGCCAAAGAAAACACATGATAATGTTTCTTTAAATTAACTGGTTCACATTTTAGAAACCAATTAGAAAAAGACTCGTCACTAACTTATTTTTGTTTAGCTTTCGTTTTCTCGGAGGTTGGGCGGCCAATCGAGCGAATGAGCAGGCGGGAATCACAATCTTCTCACATATGGATCTTCAAGAAGCATATCAGAATCGACGAGAACGCGAGATCGCATATGGACAGTTAGTGACGCAACTTGTGGCTAAATTAAATCTTTTCTAGATGTTATGAGCGATCCTCATGGAAGTCGTTGTACTTGCGGAAGAAGCGAATCATTGCAAATTGGCGATCCCGAGCGATTTAATCAATCACTGTTCTAAAGGTTTGGACAAATGCTTTGGCTATAAAGATTGTTTTTAGGGCCACGACGAACATGCGATCGATCGTCTACAAGTTCACTCTGGTCGTATCGTTGCTGATTCTAATAATGATAATACGTTGCGGGTCTGGAATGTTGGCACAGCGTG